GCCCACCAAAAGCAATTAATAGGTGTCTAAAAATTGAAATACACCGATAAAACGAGATCAGCTATATCGAAAGATTAAATGTACTAAATCTAAAGTATCATCAAACACTCAAGCAAGCATTTTCAAGTACATGAAAACTGAAACTTGAGGGCAAGAAAGATTATGAAGGCCATTTGCAACAGCCAATGGGTCATTTTTATAACTAGGGATGAGCACCGATCCAAGACAAGCTCGGAAGTGATATCTCCAAAACCATAAGGCTAAAGACCTGACTGGCATAATTACAGTCTAATATAGGAACACATTATTCCGGGTTTAACCATACCAAACTGGTATTAGACACGAATTGTATTTTATAAGACATTGCTTTGCTAATTCCTATTCATTTTTCAATAAAAATTGCGTTTGTCTGAATTTTTAAATAAAAAGTTTATAGAAACCAGAGAGGTTATATCATAAAGCCACACTCGAAGTAAGTTGAAAAAAAAATCAACAATAACTAAAGCCAAAGGACAGTGATGCCTAAGGGCCAGTATGGTTGGGGGATTTCGGAGGGAAGGGAAGGGGAGGAGTCATATTTAAATTTAAAATATTTTTTTCATTTAAAAAAATTCAAATAAAGTGAAGACAAAATAGTATATAAAAATACATGGTTTAACCAATTATATAGTTATTTGAAGTTAAAAACTAAAAAATTCAGATAAATTAATAAAATAAAAAATCAATCCTCCCCTTCCCTCCCCTCCGAAACCCCCCAACCATACAGGCCCTAAAATCTATAATGGATAGAAGTATGAAACCACTTTGCTTACACGAAAAAGGTATCAGAGCTTCAATGAACCAAAGCCAATATCAGAAACAAGGATGGGTGCAAAGTTTTCACATCAATCATTTAACCTTGTCAACACAAAACTTACCCGAAGTTCAGAGATCAAGTGTGATCCATCCTATGCATAAATCTTTGCACCACACTTTTTTTAATCGACACGAAGTGTGTTTCACTGACCCAACGCAGTTTTCTTAATGTGGTGATGATGAAGCATCTTGAAACAAGATAACTCAGATAGTATATATATGCAAAGACACATAAATAGTAAGCTGAAACCAAATGAGAAATAACTGAAGGACAATGATGCCTAGAAACCATAATGGATGAAATTGTTTTGCTTGATGGGTGCAAAGTTTTGGCATCAGTCATTTAACCTTGTCAACAGAAAACTTACCTGATCGAAGTTCAGAGATCAAGTGCAATACATCATATGCATAAACCTTTGCACCACACATATCTAACCTTACACCATCCCCCCCCCCCCCCAAGTGGGGTGATTTGGCTTTTTACCGTATCTTGTGTTCAATGGACTTAACCGGTGTACTTAACTCTAAATATTTTAAAAATCACATAAACAAGAGAAAGAATAATGCATAAAGAAATTATATATCATACAAAAGTTTAAAAGTGAGATTAATTAAACTAAAAGACAAAAGGAGGGGAAACTCGGGCGATATCCATGAATGAGGAAGCTCTGGCGATCCGGCATAGCAGCCGACACTGAAGCGCGCACTAGGGCGGAGGAGTGTAATCAGACTCCATTGGCGGCAACGCAAGGCCTCAAATCATGTTTGACGGATACTGAGGGATCCGATGAAGAGCTGCTCTTTTTCGGAGATATCTTGGCATCAGTTGGTCATCCGACTAAAGGTAAACCTATTGTGATAAATCTTCCAGAAGTGGCGGCGATCTACAGGAAATAAGAGGGTAAGGATTTTGAATCTCGCCATGAATTTGTAAGCAGGCGCGATCGGCGGGTTGAGGAAGAGCGAGTGGCAAAGACTTGAACTCGTTCCATCGAAAGGAAAAATCTTGTAGGGGGATCATTGTCTGGGTGGAAAGCTTGAAAGGAGCGTTCTAGCAAGGGTCAATAATCGTATCACTCATGCAATCTTTGTCCAGGTAAGCACTGCTTATGGGTTTGAAGGGGTTAGGGTTTGCACAGGACGTTGTATCTAATCATTCTCGTTCAAGAGCAGGGGCCCATATGAGAACAGGAAGTGTGAGATTGTCTAAGCAGGTGAAACGGAAGGGGGTGCCCAACACGAGTAGTTCAACTTGGGATGGTTGTCATTCAAATTTTGAGTTGCCTTCGGAATTCCTATTGGCAGCCAAGATCCGATATACTCACAGGGTCTAGGAATTGAGAAAGATTTCATTCAAATTGAGAGCAATTGCTTCCATTTCTTGATCAAAGATTCACTCTTCTGCATTTCTGAATTCAAAAAGGAATGCAACGACACATCTTGCTTGGATCAGAAACTGCCTATTGGCTTAAGGACTCCCTACTGCAATATGGAAAAGGAAATTTCTCTAATTTGTGGCATTTTACCAGGTACGAGTTATCAAAATCATACTACGTATAGGGTAAGCTATGAACGCAAGTACGCAACAATTTTGGAGGCTATTATCGTTTAATCCAAAGAGGACAGGGAGCTAATTCAATTCTTTCAGCGAGGTATCATTAATAATTCCAGAGGGTTGAAATAATGAAGGATTAGATCGTTTTTAAGTTGTTTTCAGATTTTTTTGGACTCTAACACCAATGTTACTAATGAAACAAGTCTCCATGTGGATGTACAACCTGAACTAGAGATTAATCCTAGGGAATTTGATGTACTTGAGAATAAAAATTCTATTTCAGATGCTTTACTGCAAGGAGATTTGCAAGCTCACAAGGATAACATTCCAGCCTTCTAGAATGAAGTTGGGTTTCACTCGATCAAGGAGCGGGATATCACACTCTATCAAACTCAAGCTGTTTCAGGTTCAGAATCTTCGGAAGATAATTTAGATTTTAATACGTTTTCAGGTGAAGGGTCTTCGGGATATGACTTGGATCAAGAGCGGCTTGCTTGACTAAGTGATTCAGTGATCCTAATTATAAAACAACTACTCAACTTAAGTTTAGACTAAGCGCTCGACTTCAAGCTAAAACAGGATTGAGGGTGCGGATCATTAGCGTGTTATTTCAATAACTTTATGTTATTTATTCAACTTCCTACCTTCATTAGCGGTTGTACTCTTTTCCATGCCTTAATAAAACTTTTATTTTTGTTGCAAAAAAAAACTTAAACTAGAACCAAGGACACCAATTCTTAAATAATGGATTTATTTATATATGCTACCTTCTCGAAAAGGTGCCCATTCGTGCTTCCGTAAATGATGTGGGGCATCAAGTGGAGGTAATGAGCCCTGGCATTAATGTAAACAAATAAAGAACCACATCAGGTTGTGTTGCAGGAAAAGTATGTCACTGCATTATGTAGAGACCCACTGTTGCATCCATATAGAAATTAAATAAGAGAATCAATACCACGTATCTTAAATTGTTATGCATGGGATGTAGGCTCTTTCTTAGATATTGGGGTGTCTCCATGTCACTTCCCTCAAATTTTTTATTTTTCTTCTTCTTGGCGTTCGTATCACCATTCGCCCCCTCTGCTTTCATCCCAGGTCCGGATTTCTAAATGCAGCCCACTATTTGCTAAACTCACACCCCATATTCCCGTAGAAGATAAAATCATTTTACAAGCCCTATTATGCCCTTATTACTAACGCAGTGTGAGTCAGTGTCTTTAGAACTCCAACTCACATATTTGTATAGCTGGTGTCTGGACTTTCAAGAAAGATGAAGAAGCTAAAGGAGCAAGTTGAAACGTGAGGAAGATAACAAGATAACAGGTCCCCAAAATTACCCTTTATCATTAATATAAGTATATAACAAGATAACAGGTCCCTTGAATCGTCCTATTGGGCACGCCTAATTCTGTGATGAGGAAATTATTTGCCGCAAATTCCCCTACATCCTCCACGTCTCAACTGCTGCATGAAGACATGTGTGCCCAGCAAATAACTGAATCCAAAAAGAAAACCAGGCAACATTCCGGAAGAAACCTATGTGACTAGGTGAATATGTTGTTAAAGCACAAAGGATACAACTTACGGCAATTCAATCTCAATTAAAAAGAATATCATGTATGTTCAATTGTTCATTAGCTTTCCCTTATCCGAGCCATACTTGGAGAGTAGTGAAAAAGCTAATTGCAATAGAGGTGAGACACTTTTCAAGAATAAGTTAAAACAACTTCAGGTAATTGAAAGACAGAGTAACAATAATAAGCGTGATAAGTCATTAAATTAACTTTTTCAACGGGGAACAAGCTCAGGTGGAAAGTTTTCAGGTTCATTTTTTTTAAAATAAACCTATAAGAAATAAAAAAAATAAAGCTAACAATAACAACGTAACTACTAATGAATCCTTTTCCCTGCTAAGAAATAAACCTTAGTTCACAGTTTATCCGTCTTTGTAACAGGATTCGGATGAAGATCGAATCTTGCTTCATTTACTTGTTGTCTGTTTCGATGACTTAGCTTGCTGGCCATCGATGTATCCATGGAATCGTCCATCTATGCGGCGTTTCGACTTGCTCGCGTTTCAGCTCCCTTTGGCTTCTTCATCTTTCTTTAATAGGAATTCTAAAATGATTTTATCTTCTACGAGATTATGGGATGTGTATTTAGCAAATAATGGGCTGCATTTAGAATTACCCTTTTTTCTTTCACTTCTTTTCCGCGTTTCTCCTCTTTCTTCTTTTAACTATCTTTTTCTCCGTGAGGCCTGCATTAGCGAGGTTGAGCTCGATATCGTCCTTACTCATATTGCCTACAGTTGGAGCTCACTTCTTTCCCATTTGGACTATACGCCCAATTTAGCAATAGTGTGAAAGAGACTATAGCTACAATTTTAGGATTTGATCATATAGAACAGACCGGCCCAGTAGTGCAGTGCAGGCCAACATAAGTCCAAACACAAAAGGGATTTTTACACAAATAGACTAAAAAGTGAAAGCAGTACTCCCTCCTTATTTTAACGTTGTTAAAATGGTCAAATAAAATCTTCTACTATTATACGATAAAGAACTTAATAAAGTACCCTACCTTAATAAAGTATACGTCTACTTACAAAAAGTTTCCTTCCCTTTATTTCTTCTCATTTTCTTGATCCCCGCTGCTACTCACCCCACGGTCCACACCAATAGCAAATTAGCAATTGATCAAAGACCTGACGAACAGCAGAAGCACTAGCCATGGCTGCAGCTATGCTCAAACGGACGACGATGTTGAATTCAATGGTCAACAGATTGAGATCATATGCTTCGGTTGCAGTGGGTACGGACCTGGTATCCGGCGCCCCCAATGTCTCTCTCCAGAAAGCTCGCACTTGGGACGAAGGCGTCTCCTCCAAGTTCTCCACTACCCTTCTCAAAGACATCTTCAAGGTACGGACTCCCTTCGGTTCAATCTGGGTTATTACCTTGATTGTAAATAGCCGGCTTCTTGTTGTTTAGGGTTTCTAAATTTGCATTGTCTTGTTTTTTTTTTTCCAGGACAAAAAAGTTGTTATCTTCGGACTTCCGGTACATATTTTCTTTAATATCCTGATCGGTTTTATATCACTTTTGCTGGCATTTTTAAATTAAGTAATCACGTTGTGTATGCTATCTGTTTTGTTCGCCTCTGTTATTATGTATTGGTATTTGGTAATTTGGTAGACAATGGTAGATAATTCATAATTGTAATGATCTGTCTGAATTGTTTGGAACCATGAAAAGAGGCAGGAAAACGAGAGCAATGAAGGAGGATTATTGAAGGAAACTGGGGACGTGTAGGCCTCGGCGCATCTTAGAGTTCAGATGATGCGATGATGGATGATCTGTAACTGCACAACATACTGCACGTTCAATCCTTCATTCTGTGGTCGAACCAAACTTGATACTCTGTGTATGATTATAGGATTTACAGGAATATAGGCCACCTATCACATGAATCCTAAAAAGCCCCTATGGCCCTAGCTCGTTATGTAAACAGTAGGCTTGTTTCCAACCCTTTGTCCCCTTCTCAGAGTTCTCGGCAGGGATGTGATTAGAAATTTAGAATAAAGTTGCATTCAGTTTCCTTGCTGAGATAGCTTGAAATTAAAAAAGAAACAGATCTCATGTAACTTGTAAGTAGTAAGAGAAACTGTTTAGATAGCGGGTTAAGCACAAACCTAAAACAGCTCACATATAATGTGCCATATAGCAGGCCCAATCTAACTCTTATTCAAGATTTATAATCTTTTTATTTTTATATTGAAATTACATTCTAATATTAATGAATACTATAAATGTTGATAATATTTATCAATATTATCAATATTATAATATGATACATGTTTTTGTTCCTTCTCTAATTATGCTTCCTCTATCTAGTGGGTGGCGTTAACGCCACTCAATAAGACCCCTTACTCAACATAGTATGAGGCCTAAGTTTCCTGAGCTATTTTAGTTTATGTGGCTAAACTACTTTGTCGTGGATGTGTTTTTCGGGAAGAGCTATAGGCCATAGCCATCACAAGAACAGCAGCTTGTGTGTAGGATTCGTAGAGCAAAACTGCAAATGGCCGTGTATTATTTGAATACACAGTTACTCTTTATCTATTTGGTATAAAGTATTTGGCTGTGTTATGTATTCATTAGCAGTATTTTGTTTTATTGGGACTATTACTTTGCTCTTCAAGATTCTTGGGATTGGTATAATAGTTCATCTATTCCATCCCTTGGATGTAGAATCGTTGGCTTAATTGCAAAGCTCTCAACAAAGTGAGATCACATGTATCAGCTATGTCAATGATGAGCTCATGAGCCTAATTCAAAATTCCACCATTGATCCTCATCTTCCTTTGTCTGGTTTCTCTTCCTTCCTGTTTCCTCCCAACGGTCTTGGGCAAGGGCAAGCATGGACACACTTATATTACTTTTCTGTGTGTTAACAATAATTGTTTTACCTTGAGTCCTTGACTTGCAATTTTCGGGTCGCTACTGCATTAAACTGTTTTGCCTTCGTGAGAAATCCTGAATTAGTCAACTCGGTGTTGTACTCACTTCTCGCGGTTAGACTCCCACATATTCATAAGTCAGGATTTAAGGAGTTGTTTATGTTTGATCTCCTTGTGAGGCTGAAAATGTAGCACATTTTTATTTATATAACATAAAGGAATTAGGTGGGCAATTGGATTTCTCTGATTATTCCCGCCTATTCCCGCATTGAATCATCCTTCGGCTTATAGCATTAAATTAAGGTTTTTATTATATAAGGTAATTGGTAAGCAATATACTGATCATGAGTGTGAGATGCTTGGCCAATGCATATTAACGGAGCATGCATGGGACCCAAATGATGGAGTTGCAATAACTTTTTATTTATTTATTGAAATTGAGCTTCAGTAACATAGTATATTAATTTAAAACAATATAATCAAGATGCTCATACGATTCAATCCACTACAAGAAAATTGACTTTTTGTACCCCGAACAATTTGCGACCGACGTTGAAAAACTCGAATTATATAAAAGATATGCGTTATATGGATCATATGTATTGTCCTACCACATGTGTGCGCTCACAAGGGTAAATACACTTAAAATTTGAACAAATTAAGAAGTCCATTATCAACGTCCATAATTACTTGAATACAATTACATTCCAGAAAATTATTCAAATTTGTAATTAAGTACATGAAATACCTCATCTTTACAATTTATAGATTCAATGGATAAGAAAAAGTAGCAATTAAGTGGAAAAAAGGTAGATAAAAGAATAAAATCGAAAAGTAAAAAATTAGTTTTTTCAATTCAAAAAACATAAATTTTGTAGTCTAAGAGAAAATTTTATCTTATAAAATAAAACTCATTGAGTAACAATTTTATATATATAAATACTAGGAGTGGGCATAGCGGTTTCAATTCGGTTTTGATAAGTTTTAATATCATTTCGATTCGGTTTTAAACGGATCAAAAGCATGATTATCAAACAAAAACCATACTATGTTTCAGCTCAATTCGGATTTATTCGGTTCATTTCTCTTTGGATTTGTTATTTTTAAAAACATATTAAAAATTTATTGACTATATATTTGAGTTCGGCTCGACCTTATTCGATTTTTCACAATTTTGATTTGTTTAATTTGGTTTAATTCGATTTGAAACTTGAAAGTCATACGATCAAACTCAAACTGAATTACATATGGTTTGGTTTCAATTCAATTTGGTACAATTCAGATCAGTGTTGTCAATTCCAGATAGCGGAGCGGAGCGGGCAGCCCCCAAAACGCTATAGCGGTATAGCGGATAGCGGGATGACCGCTATTTGGAGTACTTTAAAATATAATAGATAAGTAACTACTAGAAGCACATGTAATATGACTTAGAAATATTATACTTAATTATATAAAACTCCATCTATATAAATCGAATTGTTTACATTCTATACATGTCATTATTTGTTATTTGTTACTGAAACTAGATGGTTCTAAGTTTTATAGAACCATTTGGAGTACTTTCAAATATAATAGATAAGTAACTACTAGAAGCATATGTAATATTACTTAGAAATATTATACTTAATTATATTAAACTTCTTCTTTTATAACTACTGAAACTAGATGGTTCACCCACTTAAATTACTCAGAAATATTATTTAGTTTCATGAGTAAAATATAAGATACTATTAATAATTTAAACATCTTAAGTCAAAACATCGAGTCAAAAGAAGACTGACTAGACTTCACACGAAAAGAAGAAGAAAAGAAGACTGCAGGTCTGCAGCAAAGGTTGGAAAAGAAGATGTTGCAGCGGAAGATAGTCAGATACTACTGAAAGCAGAGGAGGGCAACATCTGTCATTCTTGGAGAAGAAGCAATCGCAGAGTAGCAGAAATAGAAGATGGTTGTTCTGGGAGAAGAAGCCATCGCAGAGGTGCCACTGACTATTTTCAAAAGCTGGCTTCGTTTTGAGCTTTTAGTAGCGTTTAACGTACGTGTATGGGTTTTAATTAGGTTAAAATATTGTTTTAAAAGTCTAATTTAACCCTTCTATGTCTGCGCTAAAAAATCTAACGCTAAAATCCCTCCCAGAAGGCTCATATTCTGCGAAACGCGCCGCGTTAGCGGCCGCTATTTTCTCTCCCGCACCTGCGCTATAGCGGGCGCTATGGACGCAACACCCAAACGCCACGCTAGAGCTCTCCATGTAGCGCCTACCCTGTCTGCCGCACCGCTATTCCGCTATAGCGCGCTATTGACAACACTGATTCAGATTCACTCACACTCAACCGGATTGCTGACCCCTAAAAAACACCCATGAATGCTCACTCTCTCATAAGTGGCATCCATTAAAGTCAAGTCGAGTAGTACTTATTGAGACCCCGTTAAGTAATAATGCAATTGGCAGAATCGGGTAAAACTCCTGAAATTGTGAAATTCTGTTAATTTTGCTAAATTATGGAAAAATTATACTCCGTATCTGAAATATATTTAATAATAAAATATTTTTTTTAGATATTTAGATTGAAATTAATTTAAGTTATTCTTTATCTTTTACTTTATATATCCAACTTTTATCAAATTTGAGTTTTTTGCGACTTTAGAAGACTTTTTATGTTGTTTCTAAATATGTAAATTTTATTTACAAAGAATAATCTTATTATTAACATGGATCACTTAACTTTATGACTTTAACATCGTAAACGTGGGTACCTTTACCCGAGCTGGAGGTAGTATAAAATATTCATTCGATCTCTTTTTTATCTGAGTAATGTGATTTGATTTTCCCGTGCAACGCACGGGTTCATTGTCTAGTTCTTTATCAAAAGTGAGACGACTACAATAATGAAAGCCACTCATTTGATATTAGATTATTTAAAGAAAATGCCCTCATCTTCTAGATTTTTTCAATAAATGGGAGCATTATCATGTGAAAAGTTTTAAAGAACTAACACTTTCTTCCCAGAGCCATTTGATTTATTCTACCAGTTAGAGGAGCATTTTTGATACTGCATATGCTAAACACAGATTCACGTTTCTTTTCCTCATTGTTCAGATGGCAGTTTGTGTGCTTTTTGTTGAGAGGGTAAGAAGAGAAAGTTTGTATATCATTTACAAATGACAGGAAATACAATGACTGATTATACAGGCACAAAAAGAAATCATTTGGCTAAAAAATATATCTGGATTTTGCGATTTTCAGTAGTCAGTAAATGGCTTATCGGAGTTGTTGGTATGGAAGTGTCTGTGTCATTAAGAGTCGAAAAGGGAATAATAAACATTTCATGGCTCACTAATCATCTCTCTCTCCCTCCTGTTCTTATGAGTTCTTGTATTATCTTTCAGGGTGCTTTCACTGGAGTTTGTACAGCCCAACACGTGCCTAGCTATAAGAGTAACATTGACAAGTTTAAGGCCAAAGGAGTTGACACAGTGATCTGTGTAGCTGTCAACGATCCATATGTAATGAATGGATGGGCAGAGAAGCTTCAAGCAAAAGATGCCGTAAGTCACTTGATTGAGTTTCTGAAAATATAAATTGCAGTCCAATAAGTTCTCTTGCATAGGAACTTGAGGGATTTACAAATAAACAATATAATCTTTACCACATGTTAGATACTTTATTGCATCATTCTTCTAGTCTCTGAATCTACTAGTCAGTGCTAATATGATTGAGTTTCTACTAAAATCTGTCTCAGAAGTGCTCTGTGGATCCTAGCATAACAGTATATTATAAAAAAATTTAGGGCTGATATCTGAACATATTTAATTATTTATTAGAATGCTGTAGACAAACCTTTTGTTGAAGTAATTTGTTGTCGTTTTCTGTTTCCATCAAATTAAGAGTTCAATCCAATGTGCATGCATTTTATCTAGTCTAGCTTCACTCGGAAACCAGGTGAGGAACTACCTCAAACAAGCTAAATCACATGACCGCTACCAGTAAACACGAATGAAGGATACAGGGACCATTTATGCATGTTTGCATGGGAATCAGAGTTGGTAAATGAAATGATAAATGTTTGATGTTGTTGTGCAGATTGAATTCTATGGTGATTTTGATGGGAGTTTCCACAAGAGCTTGGACTTATCAATTGACCTCTCTGGTGCTTTGCTTGGAACACGCTCCCACAGGTATACACGAGTCAAATTGTTTAGTTTACTTTATAATGGTCTTTCGTTAGACTAGTTTGACAGCTGATTGCTTGCTGATGCACCCCAACATATAAAATTTGGGGTTAATTAGATCCCCTAACTAATAATACTCCATCTGTCCCAAAATGTATGACACATTTGGGTTTGACACGAGTTTTAAGAAAATAAAGGATGTGATTGTTCTTTTACAGATGTAACCTTAAAAAGTATGAAAAAATGGAATGAGTCCACGAAAAATAAAAAAAAGGTGAAATAAAAGATAAACTGTAGTGGAAAAGTAAAAAGTAAGTAGTGTTCCATATCGGAAGATGTTCAATTTTTTTTGGATAGCCATCTTAGATAATGGGATTGAATGAGTAAGTAAATAAGGACTACTTATTGGCTTATTATACATTTTGTGACTGAACCAGGTGGTCAGCGTACATAGTCGATGGACAGGTCAAGGTTCTCAATGTCGAAAAAGTTCCATCTGAGTTCAAAGTTTCTGGTGGGGATGTCATCTTGGGACAGATCTAGAGTGGGATTCTCTTTTGCAGTCTGAACTAATAAGTAATAATGAGCATTTCTAGCCCAGCCTTTTGTTTGAGACTTGGCGCCAAAAGAGAAAGAGAGATTCGTAGGCGCCAAGGGTTGGCGACTTGGCGCTTGTATTTACTGAGTTACTGATTAAGTGATCTTTAAAGAGAGATTCGTAGGCCCGGTTGGCGACTTGGCGCTTGTATTTACTGAGTATTCGACTGCCTTCCCGGTTGAATTTTTAGCTGAAATTTGGTATGGGTAAACTAGACTTAATGAAGAAGATGCTCAAAAAATTTCATCAAAAAATTCCACCAGGAACCGCCCCAATTGGCGACGTCCGGGCAGAAACTCCTTTATAAGGGGTAAATTGAACACTTTAAGTTAGTTCATGTACCTATTTGACTCTTTAGCCTATATATAATATGATACGAGTCAATGTAGGCTAATAAGTGAGTTGCGAAACTAGGATAGTTGCTCACGGTTCAAATACACATATGGGCCAAATAATAATAATAATAATATAATTATAATTAAATGATTAGTTAGATTTGCATGTGTGTATAGTTCCCATCTTAATTTTCTATCCAACAATCTAATTACTAATAGAGAAAATTACAAAAACATCTAACTAAAGTACTTCGTAAGTTCGTATAATTTATAAATAGTTCCATCAATATGAGATTAGACATTCAACGAGAAAATATTGCAAATAAAGGGCGTGTTTGGCACTCAGTTGTTAGCGGTTAGCGGATAGCGGGTTATGTTAGCGGGTTATTAATAGCAATTTCGGTCAGCGGGTTTGACTAGCGGAATAAATTGGCGGGTTGTCAAAAGATATTTGGTAATTTAGCTGTTTGACCATAAAATTATAGAAAACGCCATTTTTCAAAATGTCAACCCAAAACTCTCTCATTAGCAGCATTTTCATTTTGACGTTTTCGTCCAAAAACGCTGGTGCCGAACAGCTATTTACCAAACAACTTGTTCACTTATTGAAAACGTTAAAAGTGATCAAACTGTCATTGTTCGGCTAAAACGCCGTTTACCAAACAACCCCAAAGACTATTATAGCTAGTACTCGGTATTTATCTAAGATGGTATTGGCAACAACTCCTTCAACATCCTGTCGGGTTGGGGTGTGGGGCTCCTGGGGTGGGAGATTCCACGTTTTGGATCAATGGTATTGGCGACAACGTCAACAACATCATTCGTCGTTATAGGTGTCATTAGACAATAGGAGTATCGTGCAATAGCCACTACCATAAAGGTAACATCATGGAAGATAATATACCTATAAACTTATTGCCGTCATCATGGTACTAATATTATTTTTACTTTTCAGTGTGAGATTTTAATGTTTACTCCTATAATAGTGTTACACAACCAAATTGCATCCTCTTTGGTAAATAGTGTTATATAATCCATCATGTCTCTTTGACTCATTTCAAGAATAAAACAAGAGCCCGTTTGGAGAACTCTGTTTTCGGCTTATCAGGCTTATCAGCCAGCTTTTTCACCAAACACGTAACTTTTACTTTCGCGCGCTGAATTGTGTAATAAGCCGAAAAAGTAAGGTTGGAGTTACTTTTCTGGCTGTATTGGCTGAAGTTACTGTAGAGGACCATTTTAGCTATTTTTACATATAATTTTTTCTTTAATTTATTAATAAAATATATTTTTAAAATATTTTTTTCTTAAATCAGCAGAATCAGCCAAAACAGCCACTCCAGCCAGAATATCATAAATTTCAGCAGAATTAGCCAAAACAGCCGATTTTGATGCTACCAAACGGGCTCCAAGTCTTTCAACAAACCAAGCAAACGGTAACTCAAAGTTCCAAACCAATTTGTGCTTTTTATTTAAAAAAGTTGTAAGTAATATTGTTAAGTAATATTGCAATTGCTTCAACTTTAAAAAAATGTTTTTTTAAAGTGATTTTGGAAAAAGTGATTAATAGTAAAAGTTAGGGAGTGTTTGTGATTGCTTGTGCTTTTTAGAAGTGATTTTTTTAGGAGATTATTGGAAAAGTGATTTGTAGTAAAAGTTGATAGTGTTTGAGAATAGAAGTGATTATAATTAAAATGTAAAAGTTGGAGTGTTTGATAAAAAAGTGGTTTTTGATGTGATATTCTATTAAATACAAAAATGCCCTTGCTATCTCAATCCCTTGCTATAGTAGAAGGTTTCTCAAAATTCTCTAAGAATGATGATGTTCTCTAGATCGGCCGAACTGTGCCAAATCAATGCTCTGGTTTAGTTCTACTTCTCCAACCAAACCCTCTCACCTCTTTGTATCTTCTCATTAATGGGGCAAGTCGGGAAAATGCACTCGGATCTCCAGAAGAAGAAGAATGAGATAGACAGAAGCTCTGAAAAGAGAAGCCCGTTGCTAGATTGTCCGAGTGAGGAGATTAGAGATATCATCCATGGCAGCCTTGATGGACCCCATCTCTTCGAAGACCTGTGTCGAGCTGCAGCACAGAAGTCGGAAGCGGAGGGGAAGCGAAACGGAAGAAAGCAGGTGGGTCATGCGGTGGAGAAGAAGGGGCACTTTGGGTTTAATTGAAAATTTTGATATAATAACTATCCATAAAGTCTCAAGTATTTACTAAAAAACCTAGAAGCACTAAAAAGCATGACAATGGCTGCTTACAACTTTTGGCTTAAAAGTGCTCAAAATTAAGCTGAAGTGTGTGTTTGCAAACACCCATTTGAGCTTATTTTAACAAAAAAGTTGAGAAGCACTTTTTGGTAGTGTTTGAAAACACTCTCTTAGTAGTGTTTGAGAAAAAAGTGATTCTGAAAAAGTAAAAGTTGGTAGTGTTTGATAAAATAAGTACTTTTTGTGTAATAGAAAAAGTGAAAATTGAAGCACCCTTCCACCTGCTTCCAGTTTTTAATTTTTAAGTAATTAATTTAAGCAGAAGCTATCATTTGAAAACACTCTTTTTAACTTTTTTAAACTAAAAACTGAAAAGCGCTTTTCTAACTGATGCGTTAAAAACACTATTTGTTTGAGACTAAGGGTCTGTTTGCAACAGCTTCTGCTTTTAAAAAAGTGCTTTTTTTAATGAAATGGGGAGAAGTGATTAAATAAAAGTTGATAGTGTTTGAGAAAAAAGTGATTTTGAAAAGTAAAAGTGGGCAGTGTTTGGTAAAGTAAGTGCTTTTTTGTGTAATAGAAAAAGTAAAAGCACTTTTGGCGCGGAAGCCGAGAAAAATAAAAGTTGTAGTGTTTGGAAAAATAAGTGCTTTTTTAAAGCCAAAAGCTGAGAAGTGCTTTTTTTAAAGTGGTTGCAAACCAACCCTAACTCTTTTCGCTGAGTTTATGACCAAACGTTTTTTGTTCCAAATGTGTACCAAACGGACACCATACTATTCCATTAGTTAATTACTACGGAGCAGCTTTTAATACTCTCTATGTCCCTTAAAATTTTGCCAACTTTTCTTATTTGAATGTCTCACTAACTTTGTCACTTTTCCTCTTAAGTAAAGATTTGTTGTAACACCTATTAATTTTAATTATGGATTTTGTTTTTTTTAGTTTATAGTTCGGGACGAAGTATCTTTTAAGGAGGGTAGAATGTGACACTCCAATTTTTTTTTCTATATATAAAATAACTCAATTTTATCAGATAAAATGTTACAAAAGTGACACTATCAATAATTAAGTGAAACAAATAAAAAGTTTGGTTTAAGTATCAACTGTGACATTTTTACACAACATAATAAAGTGACAACTTTTATTAGAAAATAACAATTTGAGAATTAAAGTTACAATATAAATTAACAAAAATATACTACTACCGTATTACAATTGAGATTGATATATATATATATACACACAATTTAATGTTGGATAGGCATAAAACTAATAAAGTACAAAATATATATACTAATACTAATAAAAAAGCCTAACATAAATAAACGGAGTAGCAAATAATACTAATCCTAACTACAAAACAAATACGGAGTACTATGTAACAATAAGACTCCATATGTAGCAGCAAATGATAATACGGAGTAATAATAGTATGTACAGCGGCCGAATAGTAGTTTAATCAGACACGTATGAAGAATGGGAAGTTAACAAAGAAAGAAACTATTTCGCAGCAGTACACTGGCGGCTATTAAATTAGTTCATACCAGTGTATTATTACGCAACAGTACAACGGCGGCCATAAACCCATACGGCTGAACTATTACATAACAGTACAGCTCCGGCTGAGAACTATAAATTCGGGTGTTTAGCAAGCTATTCTGCACACAACCTTCACTCCTGCGTATGTGTTTATACCCTCATATACATACATATAACAATATATCTATATATTTATGTGTCTACGGTGCGGGCTGCGGCAAATATATTCACCCCAAATGAAAGCTAAAAACATCTCAAATGTAGTCTCTGAGAGTAAGGGAGAACGAATACCTTGTTGTTGAGAGGAAAGAGAGTCACCGGAGGGAGGAAAAGTTTGCCGGGGTTTGCCGGACTGTTCTTATTCACACCGAAGGTAGGAGCAACATTGTACTGCCTATTCTCACGTCCTGAGTTGCTGTAGAAGGAGGGGTCATCGCCGCCGTTGACTGACGCCGGAAGAAGAGGCCACCGAGGACACCGCCGCTACACTGCACCTGCTTCGTTCGCTATCTTAGTTGTTGAAGAAGAAGCACAGTACGCTATTTTCTTTTCTTCTGTTTTAGTCTTTATTTTTAAAATTGGGCTAGCTTTATTAATTGTTAGTTGGGCTGTTTAAATTAAGAGTTGGGCTGCACTTTTATAAAGACGGGACTCGATAGTTTTACTTTTAGAATAGATTGGGCTGTTGTTTTCTAAGGTTGATCTGGAACTTAACTAGGATGAATTATAGATAATCATGAGAATGATAAAGTTAATAAAAATGAGATTTATCAATAATAAAATAATCAATGATAATACGGATAGTTATAGTATGCAGATAGACTAATTACGTATATTTACTAAATCGCATGCTCATAATGGATAAATTAATATTTTTAATTGTAGTAAAATTTGTCACTTTTTAGTTGGGTTAATTACGTAATGAAAAATAATAAATTTAAAGTACTGTTTAACCATAAATATAATAATAATAATAATAAACGGATTGTTTATTATTTTAGAACTGTTATTTACTTAACTGGTTAATTAAAGTATATGGATGTTAACTATATTAATTAAAGAATGAATTAAGATAAATTAAATAATATAATAACATAATACAATTCGGACATATTATAAACATATAAATTCGTATACTTAATAATATTAATATATAATTGATTATTTGGATATTTTATGACTACTAGATTAAACTAATAATAGTAATTAATGATTATTAGTAAATTAAGATTTGTTTTTAATATTCTCCAGATATGTCAATAATATTAACGATACTTTGAATACTGTATTAAATTAACAGTACACTAAATAAATAAATAAACAAATAAAAGGCTAGTTGAAATTAGTAAATAAATAAGGTAAGAATTTAGATTACGAAATAAAGAGATAGGATTAATAAAAGTGATTAATTAATAATTAAATTAACTATTGAGTTAGTACATACATATATATAGGTGGGGGAATAGAATACATTATTAAAAATGGAATAAACGACTAATTATCATCTTAATTAAAAAGGTGATTATTTAGAGACCGGAATAGACGAGAAGAACTAGAAGCGTCACATTCCGAGGTAAGTCACATTGCAACCAAAATTATATTTTTACCTCGTAAGTAATTATTTATTTGATATGTGTGATTATATGGTGGTATGAATATTTTATTTGTGAGCAAGTTGTAATTGTTGTGATTTTGAGATATAATGAATTACATGTATATGTGGGATATTTTGAGAACATATAAAGTTAAGAATTTAAGGATAATAATCCTTGTGATGAGACTTTGTCCAAGAGACATAAATATGGAATTTTTGGAAAGACAAGATAAAAGTCTGTTTTCATAATTGGGGCACCGCGGGAGAAATCCGTAGGTGTCGGGCCATCTTCACGTCCGTTAATGGTGAAGGAGGGTTATGACTACTACTACTTGAATTGAGAGTCTTGAGACAAATTAAATGAATTTTGGAGGGTTCGGTAACCACCCCGAACAACTGGGCATTAGATCCCTTTTATTAAAGCAGTAGTAGTAGTACCTATTCTCTTAAGGGTCTTTGAACCTAGAACTTAGGGAGTATATTCCATTTTGAGTAGGGAGACGTTGACGTCAGAACTACTTAGACTTCATTCTACCCATAGGGCTTGGAATCCCTTTAGGGGGTGTGCACACTTAAGGTAGGAGTCTAGATTCTAATAGAGGAGATGAGGTACCGAGAGAGATCGGGGTGACCGTACAGAACAACGGATCACTGGGCTCAAGAATCGAGATAACGCTTGAGCACCGCCCTTCTAAATGATTAGGAGAATTAGCTATAAAGCTATTTTGAGGAAAAGCAAATACTTTTGTACTTGAGAATTATTCTTTGGAATACTTATAAGAAATTTTGAGGAAATCATTGGGATTACTACTCTTTTGAAGAAAACCATTTTTGTATATATTATGTACAAATTCTTATTTTCACCAAACCTATTATTTTACGGGGTTGGGTGGGATTTACTTAGCTCTAAAGCTAATTTTTGTGTTATTTGTTTCTTTTATTTTTCTTATGTTACAGATGATGTTGTGTATGAAGATTGATGTCTTGAGAGCGCTACTAGAAGACTTTTAGAGAAGCTAGTCTCATTACAATAAACTCTGTTCGTTTACGCTATTTTAAATGTTGAACTTTAAATCTTCACTTTGGTTTCAATTATGGTGGATAGCCTTAGCATCCAGTCCGATGAGGGCTGGGTGTGGCGGTGACACGCCCTTTTCCTTGTCGTTGTTTAATTCCGCTGCAAACATTTGAAAGTTTAAATAAATAAATCAACTTTACTATTTCTTTATGTATTATTTTGGGAGGGAAATTTGGGGGTGTTACAAGTTGGTATCAGAGCCCTTGTACCCGGGGATTTTCAAAACGTTTTCCAAAAAAAAAAAAAAAAAAAAAAAAAAAAAAAAAATAGGAAATTAGAAAATGACCTTTTAGGAACGTGGTGAGGACCTTGTGAGTATTAGTTTTATGCTATATATTATGTGAAAAGTTGAGAATTATGGACCCATATGTGAAATGGAATCTCCAAGTGTTGAAGGGAATGCCTCATAAGGAAAAATTCCAAGGTGGTCAAGGTATGTATGTTATGTGCAAAAATGTTGAGATATGAAATGTGAATCCTATGTGTGAATATGGCATAATGAAGTTTTGCACCTATGTGGTGAAATATTTGTATAATGACTTTGTCGCCTATGGAATCCTTAGTTCTAGGATCCTTAAGGAGAGTAAGGAAAGTTTTCTTTACTAATTCGAGTTATTATCCATATGGAGACACCATGCCACCGAGGAGAGATCCGAATGCCGTCCCTACCAATGCTGAGCTGGCGCAAGCTCTCACGCAGCTCACCCAGACAATCAATGTGGCGTTTCAGAACCAACCCAACAACGGCAATAACATGGAAAGTCGTGTAGCGGCACGAAACCCGCCGAACTTCCTTGGGCAAGAGGATCCAGTCCTTCTTGAGAATTGGATACGCACCTTCGACAAGCTATTTGATGTGATCAATTGCCCAGCAGAACAACGAATTAACATTGCTGTTTATTATCTGCATGGAGAAGCAGATAAATGGTGGGCTCATGTGGGAGCAGGGTTGAGCGCACAACCGGACTTCACTTGGGAACGGTTTAAGCGTGCACTGCGGAAAAGGTTTTACCCGCCACATGTGCAAGCAGAAAATTATGACAAGTTCCTACATTTGAAGCAGGGCGAAATGACAGTACAAGAGTATCACAGTCAATTTGTCACGCTGTCAGAGTTTGCAACATCACTTGTACCCGATGAGGAGAGCAAGATCGAAAAGTTCATCGGAGGACTAAATTTCGACACACAGAAGATCGTGACTGTGCAAGAATGGCAAACATTAGATGACGTCTATTATAAAGCTGCAAAGCACTATCGAGTAATACAACTTCAGCGAGAAGTCCACAAGAAAAGAAAGCACGAAGAGGAGAATAGGCAAGGAGAAAAGAGGGTCAGGGTTCATCATCATGCAGAACCGACACACCATCGCCCGAGGGATGAAAGAAGGTTCCAAGGTCATGACCAGAGACGTGACCGACGAAACATGGTAGAGAGGCATTTCAACTGCACGAAATGCAAGAAAGACCACCCAGGGGTGGACTGTGCTGGCAACAGAGTGAAATGCTTCACGTGTGGGAAAATGGGCCATCGGGCTTTTGAATGCTGGGATAATGTAGGAAGGGGTCCACAGAACCAGGGACCTAACCGTGGAGGTGGGAGTCAAGGGGGCGGAAACAGTTCAGGAGCTGAGAACCGGGGCAACAACAACCCGGGAAATCAAGTAGGAAATGGTAACCGAGGCCAAAATCAGAACCAGGGAAGAGGCAACAACAACAACAATAACGCTCCAAATCAGGGCCGAATTTATGTAATGAATCAGGCTCAAGCCCGAGCACATGATGTGGTTTCAGGTATCATTCATGTTAATACCACTCCTGCTTATGTTCTATTTGATTCAGGTGCTTCTCACAGTTTTATCTCTTCTAAATTTGTTGAGAAGTTAAAGATAGAACCTGCAGCTAGCATAGAGTTGAATGTAAAAACAGCAAACAATAGTGTTGTAGCCTGTAGAAATGTATACATGGATGTACCCATAGTTATAACCGACGTCAGCCTACCTGGGAATTTGGTGCAATTCGACCTCGAAGGCATTGACGTGGTGCTGGGCATGGATTGGCTTGGGAGGTACAAGGCGAAGATCTTATGCAATGAGCAGAAGGTTTCCATGAAGAGCCCATGTGGGAAGCGGGTATCTTTCAAAGCAACGGTGGACAAACCCGGAGTCAAGTTGATGACAATGCGGCAGATGAGGAGGTGCATCCGGAAGGGATGCGAGGCGTACATATGCATGATGAGAGACAACCATGAAGAAGAGCAGACAATTGATCAGATTCCGGTGGTCAATGAATTTTCTGATGTGTTTCCGGAAGAGATTCCGGGGATGCCTCCGGAAAGGGAGGTTGAGTTTTCCATTGACTTAATGCCGGGGACTACACCAATTTCCAAGGCACCGTACAGGATGGCTCCGAAGGAGATGCAAGAACTGAAAGAACAACTTAAAGAACTGCTCGAGAAGGGATACATCAAGCCGAGCGTTTCACCTTGGGGCGCTCCGGTCTTGTTTGTGAAGAAGAAAGACGGTAGCTTGAGGTTATGTATTGACTACCGAGAGCTGAACCGTGTTACTATCAAGAACCGATACCCTTTACCCCGTATCGAAGACCTGTTCGATCAACTGAAGGGGGCAGGCATATTTTCCAAGATTGACCTTCGATCTGGCTACCACCAAGTGAGGATAGCGGAGAAGGATATACCGAAGACTGCAGTTCGTACGAGGTATGGGCACTATGAGTTCACCGTGATGCCGTTTGGCTTGACCAATGCACCAGCGGTATTCATGGACCTAATGAACCGTATATTTCGCCCCTATCTTGATACATTTGTGGTGGTATTCATAGATGATATCTTGGTGTACTCGAAGAATCAGCAGGATCATGATAAACATCTGAGACTTGTTTTGCAGACTTTGAGGGAGCATCAACTCTACGCCAAACTTTCCAAGTGTGACTTTTGGAAGGACCGAGTAGCATTTTTGGGTCACATTATCACTCGAGATGGAGTGACTGTAGACCCGTCAAAAATTGAAGCAGTAACCGAGTGGCGGGCACCTACCACTGTCACGGAAGTACGAAGTTTCCTTGGGTTGGCAGGATACTATAGGAGATTTGTCAAAGATTTCTCCAAGATAGCTAGACCATTGACCAATTTGACGAAGAAGACCACAAAGTTCCAGTGGACGGAAGATTGTGAAAAAGCCTTCCAAGAGCTGAAGAGGAGACTGACAACTGCACCAGTACTAACACTTCCATCAGGAACTGAAGGATTTGAAATATATTGTGATGCATCCAAGAATGGTCTGGGCTGCGTACTGATGCAGAATGGGAAGGTAGTAGCTTATGCATCCCGACAACTAAGGCTGCACGAAGTTAACTATCCAACCCATGACCTGGAGTTAGCTGCAGTAGTGTTTGCGTTAAAGATATGGAGGCATTATCTATATGGGCCGCCGTGCAAGGTATATACTGATCACAAAAGTCTTAAGTACATCTTCACACAAAAAGAGCTTAATATGAGGCAAAGAAGGTGGCTAGAGTTTGTCAAAGACTATGATCTTGAGATTCTATACCATGAAGGGAAGGCTAACGTCGTAGCAGATGCATTAAGCCGGAAATCTGAACATACGAACCGAGCAATGTGGATACTATCAGACAAGTTGTGTCTGGAACTGCAAAGGTTAAACATAGAAGTGAAAGAATACGGTGAAGTAGAGAACGAGGTCCAGTTGTACACTATGACCATCTTACCCTCTATCTTCGAAGAAATCAAAGCTGGACAACCAGGAGATGTAAAGCTGGAACGAGTCAAAGCCGGGATGAAAGATGGAGTAAACGGTCCATTTCAGTTGCATGGAGACGGGAGTATCCGATACAAAGAACGGTGGTGTGTTCCCATGAAATGCGAACACATCAAAAAGCAAATCATGGAAGAAGGACACAATACACCCTATTCGGTACATCCCGGAGGTGATAAACTGTACAAAGACTTAAAGAAAATTTTCTGGTGGCCAAAGATGAAGAAAGAAGTGGCCGAGTTCGTAGCACGATGTATGAACTGTCAGAAGGTCAAAGCTGAGAGATGCAAACCCAAAGGACTCGTACAACCTTTGGAGATACCAATATGGAAGTGGGACTCAATCTCGATGGACTTTGTTGGGGGTTTACCTTTAACAAAGTCCGGGAAAGACAAGATCTGGGTAATAGTTGATAGACTGACCAAAACTACGAGATTCATTCCCATGAACGAAACTTGGAGTATGGATAAGCTAGCAAGAGCCTACATAAAAAACGTGGTCAAGTACCATGGAGTTCCCCAAGACATCGTATCTGACCGAGATTCTCGATTCCTATCTCAATTCTGGAAGGAATTACAGGCTGCAATGGGGACAAAACTAAAGCTGAGTACTGCGTTTCATCCAACAACTGATGGTCAAACAGAAAGAACGATCCAAACATTGGAGGACATGTTAAGGGCATGTGTGCTAGACCTACAAGGGGCATGGGACGAACACTTAGACTTGATAGAGTTTTCGTACAATAATAGCTACCACGCCAGTATCAAAATGGCCCCGTACGAGGCTCTATACGGTCAAAAGTGTAGAAGTCCACTATGCTGGAATGATATGACAGACCAGGTAGTGTTAGGGCCAGAGTACCTACAAGACACCATAGAAAAGGTCCAGCTGATTCAAGCCAGGATGAAAGCTGCGCAAGATCGTCAGAAGTCTTATGCAGACCTAGGAAGAAAACCAGCTGAATTCGAAGTAGGAGAGAAAGTTCTGCTCAAAGTCTCCCCGACGAAGGGAGTAATGAGATTCGGAAAGAAGGGAAAGTTGAGCCCGAGGTTCATTGGCCCATATGATATCCTCGAGCGAGTGGGACGAGTGGCATACCGCTTAGCTCTACCCACACATTTGGCTAAGGTAAGACATACCTTAAAACCTCTCGATTGAGAAATACCATAGTAAATACTTGACAAACACTAACATGTGATGTACTTAGGTACACAACGTTTTCCATATTTCACAATTGAAGAAGTATGTCCGCGACGAATCGCATGTCCTTAACCCTGAGGTACGAATAATGACCTTAAGATATTTGAAATTAAACTCGACACGTCTAACTCCAACTCTATTAGGTGGTCGAGTTGGACGAAACCTTGACTTACGAGGAGAGGCCTATTCAGATTCTTGACACCAAAACTCGTGAAACCAGGAGAAAAGTAGTTAAAATGGTGAAAGTGTTGTGGTCTAACCACTTGGCTGAAAACGCTACTTGGGAGTCCGAAGATGATATGCGAAATCGCTATCCAGAATTGTTTGGTTAAGGTAGTGTTTTAGTTACGAGGACGTAACCTCATTTTAAGAGGGGTAGAATGTAACACCTATTAATTTTAATTATGGATTTTGTTTTTTTTAGTTTATAGTTCGGGACGAAGTATCTTTTAAGGAGGGTAGAATGTGACACTCCAATTTTTTTTTCTATATATAAAATAACTCAATTTTATCAGATAAAATGTTACAAAAGTGACACTATCAATAATTAAGTGAAACAAATAAAAAGTTTGGTTTAAGTATCAACTGTGACATTTTTACACAACATAATAAAGTGACAACTTTTATTAGAAAATAACAATTTGAGAATTAAAGTTACAATATAAATTAACAAAAATATACTACTACCGTATTACAATTGAGATTGATATATATATATATACACACAATTTAATGTTGGATAGGCATAAAACTAATAAAGTACAAAATATATATACTAATACTAATAAAAAAGCCTAACATAAATAAACGGAGTAGCAAATAATACTAATCCTAACTACAAAACAAATACGGAGTACTATGTAACAATAAGACTCCATATGTAGCAGCAAATGATAATACGGAGTAATAATAGTATGTACAGCGGCCGAATAGTAGTTTAATCAGACACGTATGAAGAATGGGAAGTTAACAAAGAAAGAAACTATTTCGCAGCAGTACACTGGCGGCTATTAAATTAGTTCATACCAGTGTATTATTACGCAACAGTACAACGGCGGCCATAAACCCATACGGCTGAACTATTACATAACAGTACAGCTCCGGCTGAGAACTATAAATTCGGGTGTTTAGCAAGCTATTCTGCACACAACCTTCACTCCTGCGTATGTGTTTATACCCTCATATACATACATATAACAATATATCTATATATTTATGTGTCTACGGTGCGGGCTGCGGCAAATATATTCACCCCAAATGAAAGCTAAAAACATCTCAAATGTAGTCTCTGAGAGTAAGGGAGAACGAATACCTTGTTGTTGAGAGGAAAGAGAGTCACCGGAGGGAGGAAAAGTTTGCCGGGGTTTGCCGGACTGTTCTTATTCACACCGAAGGTAGGAGCAACATTGTACTGCCTATTCTCACGTCCTGAGTTGCTGTAGAAGGAGGGGTCATCGCCGCCGTTGACTGACGCCGGAAGAAGAGGCCACCGAGGACACCGCCGCTACACTGCACCTGCTTCGTTCGCTATCTTAGTTGTTGAAGAAGAAGCACAGTACGCTATTTTCTTTTCTTCTGTTTTAGTCTTTATTTTTAAAATTGGGCTAGCTTTATTAATTGTTAGTTGGGCTGTTTAAATTAAGAGTTGGGCTGCACTTTTATAAAGACGGGACTCGATAGTTTTACTTTTAGAATAGATTGGGCTGTTGTTTTCTAAGGTTGATCTGGAACTTAACTAGGATGAATTATAGATAATCATGAGAATGATAAAGTTAATAAAAATGAGATTTATCAATAATAAAATAATCAATGATAATACGGATAGTTATAGTATGCAGATAGACTAATTACGTATATTTACTAAATCGCATGCTCATAATGGATAAATTAATATTTTTAATTGTAGTAAAATTTGTCACTTTTTAGTTGGGTTAATTACGTAATGAAAAATAATAAATTTAAAGTACTGTTTAACCATAAATATAATAATAATAATAATAAACGGATTGTTTATTATTTTAGAACTGTTATTTACTTAACTGGTTAATTAAAGTATATGGATGTTAACTATATTAATTAAAGAATGAATTAAGATAAATTAAATAATATAATAACATAATACAATTCGGACATATTATAAACATATAAATTCGTATACTTAATAATATTAATATATAATTGATTATTTGGATATTTTATGACTACTAGATTAAACTAATAATAGTAATTAATGATTATTAGTAAATTAAGATTTGTTTTTAATATTCTCCAGATATGTCAATAATATTAACGATACTTTGAATACTGTATTAAATTAACAGTACACTAAATAAATAAATAAACAAATAAAAGGCTAGTTGAAATTAGTAAATAAATAAGGTAAGAATTTAGATTACGAAATAAAGAGATAGGATTAATAAAAGTGATTAATTAATAATTAAATTAACTATTGAGTTAGTACATACATATATATAGGTGGGGGAATAGAATACATTATTAAAAATGGAATAAACGACTAATTATCATCTTAATTAAAAAGGTGATTATTTAGAGACCGGAATAGACGAGAAGAACTAGAAGCGTCACATTCCGAGGTAAGTCACATTGCAACCAAAATTATATTTTTACCTCGTAAGTAATTATTTATTTGATATGTGTGATTATATGGTGGTATGAATATTTTATTTGTGAGCAAGTTGTAATTGTTGTGATTTTGAGATATAATGAATTACATGTATATGTGGGATATTTTGAGAACATATAAAGTTAAGAATTTAAGGATAATAATCCTTGTGATGAGACTTTGTCCAAGAGACATAAATATGGAATTTTTGGAAAGACAAGATAAAAGTCTGTTTTCATAATTGGGGCACCGCGGGAGAAATCCGTAGGTGTCGGGCCATCTTCACGTCCGTTAATGGTGAAGGAGGGTTATGACTACTACTACTTGAATTGAGAGTCTTGAGACAAATTAAATGAATTTTGGAGGGTTCGGTAACCACCCCGAACAACTGGGCATTAGATCCCTTTTATTAAAGCAGTAGTAGTAGTACCTATTCTCTTAAGGGTCTTTGAACCTAGAACTTAGGGAGTATATTCCATTTTGAGTAGGGAGACGTTGACGTCAGAACTACTTAGACTTCATTCTACCCATAGGGCTTGGAATCCCTTTAGGGGGTGTGCACACTTAAGGTAGGAGTCTAGATTCTAATAGAGGAGATGAGGTACCGAGAGAGATCGGGGTGACCGTACAGAACAACGGATCACTGGGCTCAAGAATCGAGATAACGCTTGAGCACCGCCCTTCTAAATGATTAGGAGAATTAGCTATAAAGCTATTTTGAGGAAAAGCAAATACTTTTGTACTTGAGAATTATTCTTTGGAATACTTATAAGAAATTTTGAGGAAATCATTGGGATTACTACTCTTTTGAAGAAAACCATTTTTGTATATATTATGTACAAATTCTTATTTTCACCAAACCTATTATTTTACGGGGTTGGGTGGGATTTACTTAGCTCTAAAGCTAATTTTTGTGTTATTTGTTTCTTTTATTTTTCTTATGTTACAGATGATGTTGTGTATGAAGATTGATGTCTTGAGAGCGCTACTAGAAGACTTTTAGAGAAGCTAGTCTCATTACAATAAACTCTGTTCGTTTACGCTATTTTAAATGTTGAACTTTAAATCTTCACTTTGGTTTCAATTATGGTGGATAGCCTTAGCATCCAGTCCGATGAGGGCTGGGTGTGGCGGTGACACGCCCTTTTCCTTGTCGTTGTTTAATTCCGCTGCAAACATTTGAAAGTTTAAATAAATAAATCAACTTTACTATTTCTTTATGTATTATTTTGGGAGGGAAATTTGGGGGTGTTACATTTGTGGTTTCAGATAATTCTTTTTTCCTCTGCACAAACCTCTACTACACAGTTTTTACTTTATTTGGCTATGTTTGGCGGACATAAGTCTCTACCTTTTAGCTTTTGTACTATTTAAAAAGTCTGTAAAAGTTTCTAGTTGTATGTTTGGTACTACAATTTTAAGAGCTTTAAAAAAAGATTTTTTTTTGAGATGCTACAGGGAGTAACATCTGAGAAAAGTCTGTAGCTTTTAGCATTAATAAGTCGCAATAGCTTGTATACCAAACATAACTAAATCAAACAGTCAACTTTTTATCAAACGACTAACACATTTTATTTTAAAGATGTTTTCAGTCATTAAGAGCTAACATGTACTAAAAAATCTAGGGAAAACTGTCAAATAGTCAAAAAGTCAATTAAGTCCTTCTATAGGAGACTTTGTCCGGTCGTCGCGATTTGGGGCAGTTCCCGGTGGAATTTTTTGATGAATTTTTTTGAGCATCTTATTCATCAAGCCTAGTTTAATCATATCAAATTTCAACTAAAAATTTAATCGGGAGCGCATTCAAATTAATTCGAGAACGCAAAAATGCGCATTTATCTTCAAGAATTAATTTGAATGTGTTCCCGATTGAATTTTTAGCTAAAATTTGGTATGAATAAACTAGACTTGGTGAATAAGATGCTCAAAAAAATTAATCAAAAAATTCCACCGGGAAGTGTCCCAAATCGCGACGGCCGGACAGAACCTCATATAGAAGGACTTAATTGACCTTTTTATGAAAGTTCGAAGACCTATTTGACAGTTTTCCCAAAAATCTATAAAAAATACTTTTTCAGCTAGTTGTGAGTTTGTGACAAAGTTTTAATGGAGAGAAGTATGTATACTACGTATGGTTTTTGTGGTCTTATGACTAAACATTTTTTGTTCCCAAATGTGTACACAATCTGTAAGATTAGATAAAAAAAATTGTCTGATTTTTTTTAAGAGAAGTACTTCTTCACGAAAGCTAATGTGATAAGTTGGTAGCAAACGAGACATTTTGTTGTTGTTGAGCTTATGACTAAACATTTTTTGTTCCCAAATGTGTACAAAATCTGTAAGATTAGATAAAAGAAAAATTGTCTGATTTTTTTTTTGAAGTTTGTACAAAATGTGGAGCTAACATGTTGTGTATTCTCTAGAGTTCAGTATTTCCCGAAGAACGAAGACTCAGGTACTTTCTCAGCCCAAACCGTAAAGGAAACTACACGGTTTTACCATATTTCTCGAGTCACCGGAGCCCGCAATCCGTCTTCCAGAAGATCCGTTCACTCACTGATCGCCCAGAGCCAACACATATTGTTTAATCACGGTTGTTGTTTTATTGATATGTTTTTGTTTTTACGTATTTCTTTTATTTGTTTGATTTTTGCATGAATTCTCAGAAGCTCTAGATCGGGAGTAACGCTGGCCACTTCAGCACCTGTAATCAGAAGGAACCAGTTCTTACTAAGGTGCTTGGGAGGTTATTCTGGTAAAGCCAAAAGTCCATTCTATCATCAGGGTACTGTTAGAATGCAGTCAGCAGTGAGTGGTGGCTCTAGCTTGGAAGTCGATGCTATTAGCGTTTTGAGATCAATAACCCCAAATCTCGACTCCACAAAGCACAAAGGCCAAGCTGGTAAAGTTTTCTTACAAGTTACAATTCTTGTTATGTTTCCGAGACATTTCGTTTTTCATAGAAGAGAGACAAGTATGCAACTGAATGTGTGTGATTTGAAAAGCTATTAAATTTAATTGTTTGGTTTTTGAGTTTGACTTGTGGAGAGCATTGATATCTAAGCTACTATTTGGATCCCGTAGCCCCTTAGCAGTATGTTTAGGATGGGGATTTTTGAAGAAGATAAGGATGGGAGGGTTACTTTTCATTAACATTGCTCTAAATTTATATTTCCTTTTTCAAAATATAAGATACTAAAATATTAAATCGTTAAATTAATACAAAGTCATTGTCCTAGTCATTGTTTGTTGTAATAAAATGTATAAATTTATCTTTAAAATTAAAAAAAATAACTCCACTCTAAAACTTCTCTCCCAACCATAACCTAAAAGAATATTGCACAGGTTATATTTTGCATTTATTTGATGCTTGACAATCAAATATCCTGTCTTATGGAGATAGCAAGTTCAAGAAATATGACTTAAGGTCAATAGGATTATGAAGTCACTGTGGTGGAGAATTAGTTGAATCTCATTTCCGCGCATCTGGATCACTGGTATATATTGCAGAAAATAAAATTACAGTAAAAAGTTATCGACTATCACATGTTAAGAGACCCCATCTTATTTCATCTCACTTGTACTTGATTTATGCTTTATCTCTCTGTGTAAATCAGGAAAGATAGCTGTTGTAGGTGGGTGTCGTGAATACACTGGGGCTCCATACTTTGCTGCTATTTCTGCATTGAAAATTGTTAGTCATCTCACCCCTTCCTTGCCTTTTCTTCAACGCTCATTCCTGCCTTAACTTGCTGCAATTAGTTTTTCTAGTTGTAACTGACTCATTTAGTCTGTTTACCTGTTTCATTAGGGGGCAGATTTGTCTCATGTATTTTGCACAAAAGGTGCTGCTCCAGTGATAAAAAGTTATAGCCCGGAGTTAATTGTACATCCTATACTCGAAGAATCTTACAGCATTAGGTAAGTCTTAAATATCCAGTAAATATATACATGTTCTTAATTTTACTTATTACTAATTTACTATCATCATAGCTGTTCTTTTTTTTTTCTTTTTTTTGGGGGTGGGGTGGCTTCAACACCACAATTGCCTTTGAGTTATAACATTTTTTAGTGTACTGATAATTTTGATAGAACTCTCCCAGGGATGAGGATAAAAGCTCAATATCAGCCAATGTGATTGCTGAGGTTGATAAATGGATGGATAGATTTGATTGTCTAGTTGTTGGTCCAGGTCTTGGCAGAGATCCATTTGTCCTGGTGTGTTGTTGATCTGTGCTTTACCCTGAGTCCTGATGGTTTAGTTTTCTACTATGCATGCTTCGAAAAAAAACCTCTACTCCCTTCGTCCCATATAACTTTGCCATAGTTGACTGGCACGTAGAATAATAATGTAAAAATTGTGTGGTTGATGTTTGTGCAAGTGAGCGAGAATTAACAAGAGCCACAAATTTTTTATTTAAAATGGAAAGTGGCAAAGTTATAAGGGATGGAAGGAATATTATTTTTTTAGGGATTTCATAAAGAAGCCACAAAGGGAACTTTGTGAAATTGGGCTCATAGTGATCATAGAAAGCTCTTTTGAGAGTGTGCATAGACCTCCTGACGACCTTTGAATCCTATCACCTTAGTCTTTCAAGTTGAAACTCTCCAAGAACAAGAAACTCTCCCATAATTGTAGCCTTAATTTCCACAAATGTAGGCTGAACAACACATGTTACTAAATAGTAGTATTTGATATTAGAGAATTTAGATGAATGGGCTTAAACACTTGTAGCACGTTAAATGTTAATATAATAATATGATCGTAGTATTGTACTAGAGGGGTATAAGCCTGAATGACTAGTTCAGTTTTAACGTTGTTGCTGTTGAGCTGGAATAAGCTTGCTTGGCTCATTGTTATGTATTCACTATGCTGAATCCTACACACTAGATGAAAGTCAGTAGGACATTTATTCTTATCTTGATCTCTAACTTCCATAGCAGGCTTATTTGCTTGTAGTTGGTCTAAATTTTAAAAGCTTCTGTTTCTTTGAATTTCATCATGTGATTACGGGAAACTAAAACAATTAGTTTCATTTGGAAAATAAAACACATTAACAAAGGAAATCCCCTCTATATCTGTTCTTCGGTGTTTGATATCTTTTTATCTGTCAGGTGGCTGTATTAACAACTTCCTTTAAAATTTTAACTTGTCTCAGGACTGTGTGAGTAACATCATAATTCGTGCACGAGAGTGCAATGTCCCAATGGTTATAGATGGGGTATGCTTGAACAGAGTGAAGTATTTCACAAACATTTTCTCCCTGGCAGAAGCCTAATTATGTTGCAAAGTATTGCACCTGATAATTCTTACGTACATAATGTGTGTGTGCTTTTTTTCACAGGATGGGCTCTTTCTTGTTACACAATGTCTTGATCTGGTTAGAGGTTATCCTTTGGCTGTCCTGACACCAAATATAAATGAGTATAATCGGCTTGTGCAAACTGTGTTAACATCTGAAGTTAATGAAAAAGATGCAATGGAAGAACTAAAGTCCCTTATTAAGGGGTAAATTATATGCTTTATTGTCCCTCGCGTGATGAAATGTTAGTTTCTTGGCTTCTTCCTCATAATAATATCCCAGAATGAAAAACAAATCTGTCTAATTGAGTACAAACTGATCTCCTTCTTGGGAAGCTAAACATGCTTATCTTGAGTGAACAGCGCAATGCAATACCACGGATTTGATGTACGACACAAGGAGAAGGGTTAAGCCAGTATGGCCCTCTTAGTGCAATTTGGGGACTTTAAAAGTCTTGTTGCTGCATAACTATTCCAATTTTAAAAAGAGTTCTAGTATACACATATTATCTTGTGTATATGTTGTGCAATCTTCTTTTACTTTAGAGAACATCCCATGATAGACCAATTACTGTAGGCTGGCTGAGGTTCAATAAATCTCTGTGTTTCTCTATTCAAGGTTTCGTATACAGGGTAGTTTATCAGAGACATGATAGCTGGCTGGCTAAATGCCATCTATTTACACTGTCCACCTTCCATGACACATCAGTTACTGTGCAGATTTATCTCCAAATTTAGTTTGACATTATTTAGGACAGAAAGAAAATTTTCTGGGAACTAGAGTTCAAGCCATGTGCTCCACCGAATGAATACCCGTAGCAAGCACATTTTCTGGGAACTAGAGAAGCCATGTGTATAGCAAGCCATTACAAAATTTTAACTTGCTTAATCCAGATCCAGCCAGTAGCCCAGGCCATTACAAAATTTTAACCTGCTCATCAGGTTACCGGTAACATGGAATCCTTTTGAGAAACCATCCAATATTATACCAGGATTACACATTTGGGATTAATATGGGATGAACGCCAATAAGTGGAATTATTCCTATGAGTCTTTAGTATTATTTACGCGTATTAATTAATTAATGCGAACTGCGTCTCTTCAGGATTGGAGGGGTGACAATTTTGCGGAAAGGTCGATTTGATATAATCAGCGATGGTATAACAGGTATCTTCTTGCTTTAGAGTTTTAGTGAAGTTGTGAATCTGCAAGATTTATATTTTGCTGGACTGGTACTTTTCATGCGTCTATGCATTTTTCAACTTATAGATCCCCTAGTTGTATTTCCTTGCAGTTAAGTCAGTGAGTGTGTTTGGCTCTCCTCGCCGCTGTGGTGGCCAGGGTGATATACTTTCAGGAAGGTTGGTTTAATCATTTTTCTATTCTTCATTATATTATCGCTTCCATTCCAAAATACTTGTCATAGTTTGGTTTTCACAGAGTTAAGAAAGTTTTTATTGAGGTGAGAGAAGATACCTTTTGGGCAGTGTATATTTAATTTTTGGTGGGGGAGTTCTTTTTAATTGGTAGCTGATGCTTTATTATCCAGGCCCATTTTCAAAAAAGAAAGAGAGACAAGTAATATGAAACAAGCTTAAAAGGAAAGTGAAACAAGTTATTTGGAAGAGGTTAATGTGTACTAGCTTAACAACATATAAGTATAACCACAATATGTACACACATACCGTATCATGCTATGCACTCCAAAATACATTGCTTTAACGCATGAAAACTTAATTTGCCAACACTTGGCTATTTATTGCTGTTAGCGTTGCTGTGTTTCTTTGTTGGGCACGGCAGAGTGCTGCTACTCAGGGAGAACTGTCAATAAAAAATCCCACAATATTGGGATGCATCGCTGGATCGGTTTTGGTGAGAAAGGCAGCAGCTCTTGCATTTGAGAACAAGAAGAGATCCACTCTCACTGCAGATATCATCAAGTGCCTTGGAAGAAGGTGAGAGTTCCCCCTTATTATTAGGTTATTCAGAAATCACACTGTCAGGCATTTTCTTACCCTTTTTGCTCTTTGTAGTTTGGAGGAGATGTACCCATATTACTGAGAGACCTGCTCAACAAGTGATCGATCCGATCAAGTTAATCCTGCTTTGTAGTTGTGCTGTTCATAATTGTATCTGCTGCCTTCGAAAGCTATTTAGCGAGACTAAATGTGGGAACGATATATATACAGGAAAAACAATAATGCATGTTGGTGGCAAAAAGAATGAAAAACATTATGAATCCTGATGAGTTTTGGAAAATTCTAGGCTGTCATGTCCGAAAAAAGTATGCCATTTTGGTATGGTTCTTCTAATATGAGAACTTCATATAAGATATACTTTTTTTTCGGGGAAAATTGTTAATTAATTAATACTATCAGGAAACTCAATTTGGTCCTCATACTTTAAAAAATCAATGAAATCCCCGAGCTTTGGAAAAACTATTAATTAGGCCAGTTAGCATGTCACCTGCTGTGTCACCCAATCATTTGCTTACGGGTGGACACGTGGCGGTCCATGTGTGTGCCACTCATCCGGAAATGGCTTTTTGGACTTCCACATGTCTCCCGTGGCATCAGCAAAGTCCATTCTACATCATCCGTTTAAAGGACTACAAGAAATCAAATATACCTAGATGGTCAAACTAGTCAAGAATAACTAGCGTATTTAAACATGTTCATTAATCCATTTAGAACAATTGAGATGTTTTTACTTGAACTAATTTCAGTGTCATACCGAATTAGAACAAAATAGATCAGACTTAAACAGATCAAATCAGACCAGACTAGACCATACTTTGATATTTATGAAATACCCATAAACCAAATTAGCTCAAAATACACTTGTCTCGTGTAGAACAATAACCTAATACTCCCTCCATCCTAAGAAAGTTTGTCATTTCCTTTTAAAGTAACACATGTGGACATGTGGTTCATAATATTTATCTTCTTTACAGAAGTTTGACCGACCTTTAAGGGATAGAGGGAGTATTACTCTTACTAGTTTCTTTCCCATGCTTAATTGATTTTTCTCACTTATTTAAAAGGTAGATTCTATGGTATCTTTAAGGTATCATACCTTTGTCCACATGGACCAATCAGGATGATGCAATAGAATTATTTAAATCAAAATTAAAAATGATATAATGAGTTGGACCAATCAAGTAAATGGTAGGTACGGTACCCCATTTTTTTAAATGGGTACCGAAGTTGTCACCTATTTAAAATAACCCTTGTATTTATTTCTTTATCAACTTTTAAATAGTCCAGCTTGGGTTGAGGGGATAGACAAGCCTACTTAGTAATATGAATATAATAATGTTGTAGTTGTTTCATTTAATTCAATGGGGTGGGGGACACAATAATAAGGAGAGGACGAGAGAATCTTCGCCTCCTCTCATTCCTTAAGCCTTTCTTTAGTTCAAAGAAAGAGGGAGGGAGAGGCAAGGATGCTAGGGGAGGGAAGGAAAGATTCTCATAAGAAAAAAAAGATTGGTGTACACAAAAGTTGTACACAAAAGTTGTACACTTGTCTGTCCCTCACAGACAAGTTGTTTGTCCAGAGACGAGTTGTCTGTCCACAGACAACTGATGTCCGAACAGACAACTTGTCTGTGAGGGACAAACAAGTGTACAACTTTTGTGTACACCTAGCTCCACTCTTCTCATAAATATTTGGGTTTGGTTAGAGGAAAAGGAGGAAAGATTGATCGAATAAAACATTGAAGTAATAAATGTTGGGACCAAAACAAATAACCTGTTATTAAACTAATAAATCATTCGTCACCTGACTTACAATGCATTCCGATATAAAATAATAGCTGCTACTATAATCTGAGATTGCAACATGCGTTCTTGCTAAAACATGAGCTGCATGATTCGCAGATCGTTTACAAAAAGAGATCTCAACACTACACTTTGTTTGATGTAAAAAATAAATATCATCAGTGTCTGTGTAAGCAATACCTTCACCTTTCTGAACACCTCGAACAATCACCTGTGCATCAGATTCAAACTCAACTTTTTTCCATCCTTCCGTAATGGCTCCTAAAACGGCCTCGCGAATCCCTACCGCTTCAGCTTCAGCCGAAGACCATTCCGCTTTACATGAAGCCCCAAAAGTTTTAACAAAGATCGTTCCTTGCAACCCATCCCCATGCTTTAATTCCTCCCGAGTCATCTATGGTTGCATCCACATTCACCTTAATTCCTCCCACTTTTGGGTGCTTCCATCTCACATCCTCGCCTCTCACGCTGCTCCTTGGTTTAGAGGATGTTCGGTGCGCCTCCCTCCAGGCCTGCTGCACGCTTGCGCAGCAGCTGATGACTCCGGCAAAGCTCTGCCACTCGCCTTCCCAGACGTTCATATAAGCAATTCTGGCTAAGCTACTTTACCTTCCCCCAGATTTGGTAACCATGCATCTGCCCATACATGAACCTCCCTTCCACTCCCAACTCTACGCCTAACATTATTTTTCAGCACACTTCGGGTTTGAAATATACTCCGCCAAATATAGAATGTGTTATTTGACTTCTAAGACAAGCCCCGACCATCAGACTCTCCGGGTTTAATAGTAGGCTCCAACCTTGCTTAGCCAGCATCACAAGATTAAATTTCCTTAATTTCCTGAAACCCAATCCTCCTGATCCCTTCGGCTTGCACATCAGCTCCCACCGCCTCCACTATTAGTTACCACCATATGACATTCTTCTTGCTTAACCCAATTATTTTTCAAATTTGAATCTCTTGCTTCTACTAGTTTGGTTAGAGATTTTTACCTTCAACCAGAGGGCCATGTGATGGTTTGTCGGGGCTTCCACTGAAGCTGCCTGAGCCTCAATGAAAGTATCCCACCACTCATCGTTCACAAGAATTCGATCAAGCTTTCCTTCCACCCAATATGCAGTACCTTTGCCTCTATCCCACGTCCATTGGTATCCCAAAAAAGGGAAGTCTTGTAACCCACAGCTATGAACTGCCTCTTTGAACCCACGAATCCTCCAAGGAGGATGAGGTATGCGCCCTTTTTCTCCGGTTCGAAGAGAATATCATTGTAGTCGCTAATTAGCATCCAAGGTCCACTGTTATTCACAGCCAGATCCTCCAACAAAGTCCACGCTTACCACCTCTGTCGAGTCTTAGGAAAGCCGTAAAAGCCTGTCATCCGCTATGGTTGTTCATCCGCCTTCAGATTTACTCGACAATCAATGAAATTTTGCTCGCCCTTCACAATCTCCACCTCGACATCGTCTTTCCAGCCCAACACCAGTCCGCCACTCATACCCTCACTATCAATTCCATAGGAACCGTGAAAGCCATGAGTCTGAATAATATCCTTCCCTCTTTTGACAACGAACCTTGGTCTCCATCAAGAAAACGATTGATGGCCTATTTGATTGCATCAAATCTGTGAAACGTTGAGATGTGGTTGGGATATCTAAACCCCTGCAATTCCAACTGAGGATGCTCATCCTAAGCTCTGGAGAGAAGCGTCAAGCCAACGCCGGGAAGGAACCACCGTACCGAGTGACAACCGTCACCACCGGTACAAACTCCTAGGGAAATTCCTAGAGACGATCGCTCTAATTAACCCTTATTTGACAACTTGTTTTGTAAAGCTAAATAAATATAATGAGTATAAATATTACTACCTAAGTTCTCAAGTCAAAATAAATTTTTCTAAGTTTTTTAATTTTAATCTGTATTAATTTTTTTAAGTTTTATTTTTAATATTTTTTTAACATTTTATTACCTCCGTCCCAATGGACTTTGCACTCTTCGAATTAAGTGAGAAATAAGAATAATAAACATTGTTGGTTAAAGTTTGTGCAGAGAAAAGAGAAACGAGCAGAAACACAAATTAGTTACTTTAATGAGAAAGTGACAAAAATTTTTGGGACAATCAAAAATAGAAAATTAACAAAGTCCAATGGGACGAAGGGAGTAACTTTTCATTTTTTTTTCTAATGGTTAATTCTTAATTTTTAAATTTTTTAAAATTTATCAATTTTGAATTTTTTATTTTTCATTGTTTTTGAAGTTTTCAATTTTCTGTTTTTTTTTTTAATTTTTTAATTTTTCAAATTTTTAATAGATTTTTTATCTTTTTTTCTATTTTTCAAATTTTTTAATTCCCATTAATAACACATTTCCTCTGAAATACCATGATTTGGGGGTTGAGAAAGAGAAAAAGAGAAGGATTTTGGAAGCAATCGACTTTCCTCCCCCCTACTTTCAACCAAAAACACACAAATTCTTCACACCTCCCCTCTCTTCTGAAATCCTCCAACCAAACAAGGCCTAAATTTCTACCAAACAGAGGGATGTTTCCTTTTCCCTCAAACCAAAGAACATACACAACATGAGAAAATTAGATAAGCACTCAAAGACAAAAAACAGCTTAATGGTTTGATATTACTTCAGTCTCACAATAATGACAGCCTTAACATTCTTCTTGACATGTCAGTCAAAAGTATACACCATAGAAACCATAGAGTTCATTTCATGCAGATTGAGCTACATCAGTAACAAGAGCTTAAAGCTGGCTGTGTTTCATCTACCATCCCGTAGTATCTTTCTACTGTGCAACCTGCTTGCTCAATGATGTTCTCCCGTGCTACTAGGTGTTCAGGTTGAAAGTTTCTGCAGTTCGTTATAGAAGAGTGATTAGTATACTGCGACAGTATACACCCAAATCATATAATGTGATGGCTAGTGGCTACTGATAAGTTGCCACATAGAAAAGACAATTCATAAATATAGATCTAGTTTAACATGTTGGAAATGGAGTCAAATCTGCTTTAAGCACTTGTTTCATTTCTTCCACCCACACTTGGTACAGAGAGAGTACTTTCAGCATGGGATCAGAGAAAAATGCTACTGCAGTCGATTTTCTAAAATAGTGTTCATAAAGAAAGAAAAAGAACAGGCAACGCCAAAGCAGGGCAAGCAGCAGAAGTATATTATATACATTGCATGTTTTTATCGTTTTAGTATCAAAATATATGTATATTCTCAAACTAATATCTTATTTTGACTAAAATCAACCCTGTGGAGTACATCTTTAGCTTGCCATCAAATCACAAGTCTCTTTGATTTATAATGCTACAAGCCAAGAGTAAAGATAAGGGTGCTGTTTGGCAAATATGATAAAATAGATGATGGAGTTTTCAGGTGTCATGAAATTGAAAGATGTGCATACAAGAGCAGGTGAAGGATCATAGGCAAAGGAGAAATGGATGGTAAACAAACTGCAACAATACAAAAAAAAGTGAAAACACTTACATTT